AACAGCTTGAACGATATTCATAGACCTATGTGAACTGACAGTGATAGGGATGTTTCCAATAGATGTCAGATTTCAGAAGGTTTCATATTGCTTTCTGTCTTGCAGTTCAAGCAGCTGATCACCGCTAGCCATCTTGGAGGCCTTATAGCGAGGTTCTAGTTTCTCAGTTAGGCTACCAAAAATCTAGAGATCGTTTTGGCTTTTCTACCAGACTGTTCAGTATGTATTACATGATATTTTGAAAATTATTTGTTGGCCTTTGCAAAGAATGTGGTGGCTGCTTCAGTGCGATGACCTTTTGAGGTTACGATCATATTTGAAGGAGCATGCATATAACATAATAGGCGGCTTAAGTTTCAGCAGCGGTGCCAGTAGCCCACCACAGAGCCCAAACAGGGAACATGGCCGGGCATGCTGGGCAAATCCTGCCCACACCAGCCGTACAAACGCTACTATAACCTAATATGGAATAGCCAAGACTGGGCATCCACACAAGGTTAACTCTTGCCGCCAGGGGAATGATCAGAAGTAGACAGAAGAGAGAAGTAGACAGAAAGATAAAAAAGAGAGAAAGACGAAGCCCTAGGGAGATAGAGATAGGAAAAGGCGACTGCCAGTTTCCCTTCGGTGGGTCAGCCCAGTGATGCCGTCTACGTGAAACCAGGGCCACTGCAGGGGGGCCTTAAAGATCCAATTACCTGGTGCTGGCTCAACCCCCAGGATCCCCTTTTCCCTGACACGGCTCAGCCATGCACGGCTAAGCTGGGGAGGAGATCGAAATCATCCCATTGCTGCTGTTGCTGGTAATACATCATCATCAGCAGCAGCAGCCTGACCTGTCCACTGCAGTACAAAGGCCTCTCCCATGTTCCGCCAGTTAACCCGGTCCTGTGCTTGCTGCTGCCAATTTATACCAGCAAACTTCTTAATCTCATCTGTCCACCTAACCATCTGTCTCCCCCTAACTCTCTTGCCTTCTCTGGGAATCCAGTTAGTTACCCTTAACGACCAGCGGTTGTCCTGTCTACGCGCTACATGCCCGGCCCATGTCCATTTCTTCTTCTTGATTTCAACTATTATATCCTTAACCCCCGTTTGTTTCCTAATCCAACTGCTCTCTTCTTGCCTCTTAAGGTTACACCTACCATTTTTCTTTCCATTGCTCGCTGCGTCGTCCTCAATTTAAGCTGAACCCTTTTTGTAAGTCTCCAGGTTTCTGCTCATAGCTAAGTACCAGCAAGATACAGCTGTATCTTCTTGATATCCTCTTGAGGGATAGTGGCAATCTACCTGTCATAATTTGAGAGTGCTTGCCAAATGTGCTCCACCCCATTCTTATTATTCTACTTACTTCAATCTCGTGGTTTGGCTCCGCGGTTATTACCTGTCCCATGTAGACATAGTTTTTTACAACATGAAGTGGACTATTACCTATCTCGAAGCACTGCTCTCTTCTGAGGTTATTGTACATTACTTTCGTTTTTTGCAGATTAATTTTAAGACCCACCTTTCTGCTCTCCTTGTCAAACTCCGTAATCATGAGTTGCAATTCGTCCCCTAAGTTACTCAGCAATGCAACAAATAATAACCTGCAATAAAAACCAAATCACTCTTAATCACCTTAACAACATAGCATCGTGATGTTCCAAGTGGAATATAAAAATAACTACTCACAAATCAATTTTAATGAGTTACGACAAAATTCAACAATTTATCTGTTCCTTACAGCATTTCTTCTACACCTCTCACAGAAGTTAGTGAATCTGGGTGTCATAATAATGAACAACTTATCCTGGAATGCTCATGTTTCCAACATTTGCAAGCCAGCTTTTCAGAGGCTATGCTTTCTAAGACATAAATTGAAACAGGTTCCCCGTATCACTCGCTTAACAGCATATTTCTCACTCAATTGTACTAAACTAGAGCATGCATGTATCGTGTGGTCGTGACAACGGCATTTTCGATGAAGGCGTAAATGTTAAAGGTCCAATTTAGAAGCTCTCTACTATAGCGCCTTTCATAATAATATTGTAGTTTTGGAATGTTAAAGGGCCCGTAAACCACCTCGGATATTTTTTCAAGCATTTCAAGTAAACTCGCGCATCGTGTGCAGAATTCCGTCGCAATAGACGATGCTACACATGGCAGTACTACGAGCCGCCGACACGCCACAAATTCAAAAAAAAAAATCACTCCTTCTTTACAGGCCTCCACGTGACGCGCCGAACCATGCTCCAAGCCGAATATGCCAAATATGCTGTGATTGGTCGAGTAAGAGCCTACGACTTCCGGTCAGTCTGCAAGCAGCTGTCGGAGCTGCTTGTTCGTCGTCTTGCCCGCGTGAGTGCAACACATGCGGGACACGGCCTGTCACCATACGGGTCCACCGCATTGGCTATCTTTTGAAGGCGTGCGTGCAATGCAGGGTCCATACTGGCAGAATTACACCAGCCATGGTTCGCCAGCAATGACGCAGCTACAGCGCAACTGACGGAGTCGACAGCCAGAGTCGCGGCAACTGGAAGTAGACGATGTTTCAAGCAGCGTGTCAGCAATGAGGTATGCCATGCGGGATTTGGAGGGGCATGGGAGGGGTGCTCAGCGAGAGGGAAAAGCAGCATTGGAGAGGATACCAATGAAGGGAAGCACACGAGAGAGCGAAAGGTGTAGTCAACATGGTTTCGATAATCAAACACTTCAACTCCACTATTACTGCGCCGTTTTAAAAAATTCTCATGGCTCCGTGTTCATCGTACACTCGTGCACACTTTCCTCACCACAACTGAAGTTTGACCTCCAGGTGGTTTACGGGCCCTTTAAGCCCCAATAATTGTTATGTACCGTTTGGGACATTTATGCCAAAACTAACACTGCTGCTTTGGAAAAAAAGTGCAGCAGAAAGCACTCCAATTCATTTTTTTCCAAATATCACTCAAACAGCTTCCCAACTAGCCCCATGCTAGATAAAAAACATTCGAACATTGAAATTACAAATAAAATTTTATATACATTCATTCACCTTTCCTGCTGAAAAACAATCACTTTTCTATTAGTCCACATTCCTTTTTAAAGCAGTGGCAAACAAAACATTGCCATGGAGAATCCTTAGTGCCTTATCTCACAAAAACTAATTAAGCTTTTCAAATACTCTTTCTTTCTCCACACCATAGTGGACTGGAACGACTCATCCATAGCTAATTTATGCCGCACTGACGCTATTGTTGCAAATTAGTTATGGAATATGTTGTTGCTCTGTGTGCATTTTTTATTACTCTGTCAATATATTATTTGGAACTATAATAATGCAGCACATTTTCAAATATTGTTGGTTATTTTTGGCTTCAAGTTGTTCAGTTCTGCGCGATACTGAATATCTTCTTATGGAATTGTGTTATTTGTTCAATCTTAGTGCTTGTTCTATTTTCTTTTTATATTTGTTTACATTGTACTCTTCTTTCCCCCTGCGTGGACCGTTACAGGGTCACCGATATGTTGTAAACAAATAAAAAATAATCATGTGCAGCATGCTGTATACATATATTGCAATATAATACAGACAAAGCCGAAGCCTAAACGCTGCAGTCAGTCATCAAAACAGGCCCGAAAGTGATTTTTAGTGTGCCACTGCCAAAAAAACAGCCAGTAAAAAAAAATCCTCATCATACATGCAGGTGCCACATTGATGGCTAGCAGACAAAGCTAGGAGCAGTCAACACTGAACAAGCTACCGAGAGCGATTCCGCTCAATTTCACACGGATTTCGCTAGAACATATAGTACAAATTGTTTTGTGAACTTGAACACTAATGTTTGAACAACTCGAACAGGACGAAACGACACATTGGCTGGCAGCAACGAGCAGCCTCCACATAGCGGGCACACATGTGAAGAACGGCACCTCCATCTGACTCCATGTGCGTGAGGATGCCCCTCAAAGATCTTGGGACAAACACCTACCTCCTGAACTCTTTTTGAGTTCATCTGAAAATTATGCAAGCAACACAATGCAATGTAATGTTTATGTGCAGGATCTCTCAAAGGCGAACTATAATTATTTGTGTTCTGGCACTATAAAAATGAAGTCACTGAAAAGCATCAGAAAAATCCAAGATTTAGGCCTTTCCAAAATTCACCAGGCCTTGTGATCACTGCAGGTGCATTTTCACGGCAAGTCTTTCAGTCTCCAGCACACTTAGTATCAAACCTCTGCAATTTGTTCCTACTTAAAGCCACATGACTGCAGAATATGTGGTATGACTCGCCGAGGCCGTGAGAGTCAGTTTAGTTAACTGGGTGACAAGTGATGATGCTACGTGAAATCGAGGCGTTAATCCCGGAGAACGTTTGATGTAGTTACGAAACTTAGCACATGCCCCCAAATTATTTTAGTGACGAGGTGCATAGCTTAGTTATTTCTATTATTACTTTTACAAATCAAGTGTCCACTGCTAGTTACAATCTCCTTAATTCTTCTTATGAAATGTGTCTGAGATTACAAAGCATCGGCACTATACGAATTCATATTAATGAGAACAACGTGCAGCTACTACGCCTCTTCACAGTGTAGAAAACATGACTGACATGATTCGTCAGTTGTTTTAAGTACTAGTCGGCTGGGGCCGCGTACTTGGATGATTTACGTGCAAGCCAACCATATCGACAACGCCTCGTGGCCTCGTGATGTGATACACCATTTTGCCTATTTCCTGGGTATTTACTTAAACTTCGTTCTCTCGAAGTACGGTTCTCGCGAAATTGTTGCACGGCTGTCCCAACCAGATAACAAACTTGGATGCGAGAAAACACCTCTATGGGCAACAAAATGATTCTAGATGCAAAAAAGCAAGTTTTCTGAGAGTGGAGGTAACACTGACACGAAAGAGAGCTCGGTACTGGCCTCGCGCGGACCACAGTATAGAACCAGTTCACAAACCACGAAGTGACACCACACAGGCGAGCTGAGAATGTGAGTGCGGATAGGCCACAAAAGGTGGAACATACCGCCCAAACAGTGACGGGGAAATCTTGCAGATGCGTCAATTTACAAAGCGTTCACATAGCGCTAGTAAGTGCAGCACACATAGTACGCCGTTTCAAACTTGGCGTGGCTAGAAGGAAAAGTGTGATTACCGTGAAGCGGCCTCTATGGGAAGGGATGACGCCGCTTATCTATGCATCCGCTAGGTGGCACTCGCTGTCACATACGACGAAGTGGGAAGAAGACAAGATGAGCAACTGCAGAAAAATTTATCCAGAAAGGCGAATTAAAATAACACTAAACAAATTGAGAAAGAATCAAAGCACTGGGATTTAGGGACCGGGAGAGCAAAATAAACTTTAAGCGGGTAGACTTAACTAGAAGGTGGTTATCTGATTGGTGGCTAAAGTCAAGGCACGAGTGAAAATTAAACTCTTCACTGCAAAGTACGAATCCTCAAAGTCACTTTTTAAGGAAAAAAAATAAATATAATTTTTGATTCATTAGGTATTACGGCTTGGTGGCGCTAGCCACCGCCCGATCTAAAGAGTACAGCCATACCCATCCATCCATCCATCGACGGAAAAGAGGCTGACGTGAAGTATAGGCAATGTTAGGTCGAGGAAAAAATGGAGAAAATGATGGTTGCCCAGAGTGAACTGCTGATCAGAATCGCCGAGCTCGAGACTGCGTTGGCGACAGAGCAAGAGAAAACGAGGGCAATGAGAGAAAGACTGAAGTCCGCCGAAGAAGCACTAGCGAAGCCGGACAAAGAAGCGGCCTACGGAGAGAACAGTAGGGAACCGGCAACCAGAACGGTGCAGAAGGAAGAGCAAGCAAGTTTGGAAAAAACAGGTTCAGCCGGTTCAATTGTCGCAAGGCCCAGCTTCAGCGAGGTAGTGGTGGGGCTGGGAGGGCACAAAGCAGCCGGGACAATTCAGACATAGGGTATATAAACATTCAGGGTGGTAGGAACAGGCTGAACTGGGAAGAGATAGAAGAACAGCTAAGAAAAGAGAAGCCGATGGTATACGGTTTCGTAGAAACACATCTCAGGGACATGGAACAACCTCCGAACAATCCGGACTACGCGTGGGAATATTGTAATAGAACAGAAGGCAGCAGAAAAGGGGGGGGGGGGGGTGATATTGGGGCATTCATTCATAAAAGTACAGACTGGCAAAGGGCCAAGAAGGAGTGCGATCGGAACAGTGCGAGGAGTGCTAAAAGGGAAAGTGGCAGGTCAAATGACACTCCTTGGTTTCGTGTACTTGTGAACGGGAGCAAAGGCCAGAGAGGAAAACCAGGCAGTGGTAGAGTGTATATCAAAGGACATTCAGGAGTTATGAAGAGGGTGCGAGATAATTATACTAGGAGACATGAATGCGCACATAGAAGATATAGATGGTATAACGACCCAACAGGCAAAATGATCATGGATATGTGTGAAAGGCTTGATTTGATCATTTGCAACAGTACCGAGAAGTGTGAAGGGCAAATAACATGGGAGGTAGAAAGGCTGCAGTCGACCATAGATTATGCACTGATGTCACATAGGATGTATGATAAGCTCAGGGTAATGCACATAGATGAAGGTGGCTCCAGAAGTCTGGGTAGTGATCACAAACGTATCAAGCTAAGTTTTGGAAGAGCAGTGAAAGTGGGAAGGAGACAAAATGAGCAACTGCAGGAAAATTTTATCCAGAAAGGCGAATTAAAATACCACTAAACAAATTGAGAAAGTAATCACGGAGGATAATAAGACAGTGTGGACATACACGAATCTAATCAGACTCTTTAAGCTAGAGCTTGCTAAGACGCGTGACAAGTCACCCCGGGAAAGAAGACACAAACCCAAAAGTTGGTGGGATGAAGAAAATAAGAGAGCCATAGCAAAACGTCAGGAAGCCTCTAGGGAACACAGACATGCTAAGCAGCGGGGCGAACCGACAGATGATGTTGAAAGAAAATGGGAAATCATTCTAAGCTATAGAAGGAATGCATCCCTTCCGATCAATGAAAAGATTAGAAGAAAGGGAGCTCAGTGGCTGGCAGAAGTACATAAAAAAGATAGAAAGGCAGCTGCGAAATTTTGGAACCACCTAAACTCCCTAAGAAATGAGACGAGCTTAGAGCAGAGTTTTATACCTACAGCCCAAGGTGCTAGGCTAGAAGGGGACGAAGCTATTGAATATGTAAAACAAGGGTGACAGAAAAAATTCAACAAAGAAGTACTTTATACTCCACAATAGACAAGGACGAGTAAAGTGGCGCAATGGATCCATTTTCACAACGAGAGTGGGAAAGGGCTGAGAAAAGGGTTCCTAGTAGTACATCAACAGGCCCACATGGCATTCCAATTATGCTGATAAAGACATTAGGTCCGAAGTCTAAGCAAGCTTTGAGAGAGGCAATGAGCAAAATAATAATCGATCATGAAGTTCCCGATGGGTGGAAGCTTAGCAAGATGAGCGTGATCTATAAAGGAAAGGGGGACAAAGCTGACATAAACAACTACCGTCCTATAACAGTGACATCAGTGGTCTACAGGCCCGCGATGCAGATTATAAAGGAAAGACTGCAGGCATGGATAGAGGATGAGAGATGCTGGGGGAACTGCAGAATGGGTTTCGGAAACACAGGAGGTTGGAAGACAATCTGTTCTCACTGACGCAGTGCATCGAAATAGCAGAAAAGGAACTCAGGCCCCTGGGGCTAGCATATTTGGATATCAAGGGAGCGTGTGATAGCGTGGTTCAAGAAGACTTGTGGGGAATACTAGACACACTGGGTGTGGAAGATGGAGTCACTAATCTTTTAAAGGAAATCTATAAAAGTAACAGGGTAGTTATAGGGTGGGAAAAACAGGTATCTAAGCCCACAGAGGTGATACGGCGACTTAGGCAGGGGTGCCCACTGTCACCCTTGTTATTCATGATGTACCTACAAGGATTAGAGGCCAAATCAGAGGGAAGTGCACTTGGCTTCAACCTCTCTTTAGTCAAACAAGGAAAACTCATTGATCAGGCACTGCCAGCATTAATGTACACAGATGATATAGTGCTAATGGCCGACAACAAGGAAGATTTGCAGAGATTGGTGGACATCTGCGGTAATGAGAGAAATAGGATAGATTTTAGATTCAGTAAGAAAAAATCAACAATCATGATTTTTAATGATAACGAAGGTAGTGAGCTTATAATACAGGTGGTCACGCTAGAGATAACAGGTAAATACAAATATCTGGGCGTATGGATAAACAATGGGATTGAGTACCTAAGTGAAAACGGAATATACGTGATGACTAAAGGTAACAGGAATGCAGCAGTCATGAAAAATAGGGCACTGTGGAATTACAATAGGTATGATGTTGTGAGAGGAATATGGAAAGGGGTCATGCTTCCTGGGCTGACGTTCGGCAATGCGGTCTTGTGCATGAGATCAGAAGTTTAAGCAAGATTAGAAATTAAGCAGCGTAGAATAGGTAGGCTTGCTTTAGGAGCTCACGGGAATACACCAAATCAGGGAGTACAAGGTGATACGGCATGGACATTATTTGAGGGCAGGGAAGCTAGCAGCAAGATAAAACTTGAGAAGCGATTGAGAGAAATGGGGGAGGAGCGTTGGACTAGGAAGGTTTTCGGCTATTGCACATGAAGAAAGTCGATACAAAATGGAGGAAGCGATCCAGTAAATTGACTGGTAAATACATGGAAAACAGCAGGCGGCCATACCAAAAATAACTATCGGTTAAGAAGAAAGCTAAGGAAACGGAGACTGACATGTGGAGAATTGGCATGATTAAGAAGTCCGCACTAGAGATCTATCAAACTTTTAAGGAGGAAATACCCAAAGAAAGGATCTATGACAATACTTGGGGTAGTTCTATACTGTTTGAGGCCAGGACGGAAGTATTGCGAACCAAGACATATCGGGCCGAATACGAAGGAGTTAGACACAGTATGCAGTGCGTGTGGAGAGGAAGGAGAAACTGCCGAACACTTGATAATGTTCTGTATAGGGCTTCACCCTATAGTTCAGGATGATGGCGCAGAGTTTTTCAAAGCACTGGGGTTTAGGGACCGGGAGGGCAAAATAGACTATAAGCGGGTAGACTTAACTAGAAGGAGGTTATCTGATTGGTGGCTAAAGTCAAGGCACGAGTGAAAATTTAACCCTTCACTGCAAAGTACGAATCCTGAACCTCACTATTTAATGGAAAAAAAATAAATCTAGTTTTTGCTTCATTAAATATTACGGCTTGATGGCGCTAGCCACCGCCCAATCTAAAGGGTACAGCCATATCTATCCACTTTTCTATCCATCTAAAGGGTACAGCCACATCTATCCGTTTATCCATTCAACCTCAAGGTCGTGCAAAATGTTGAGAGGTCGGTTGGTGCAGCAGCAGCGCGCAACAAGAGATAAGTTCCTGTTTATTTCTTTTTGTTTGTGAACACCACTATTATTTTTTCCCTCATAATTAATAGTTAGCGTTGCGAGTATTGTAGTTGTGGGACAAAGGCAACGTTGTACTGACGTTGACCACGTGAACGGGCTAGGCGGCTCTTTTGAAGAAGGTCGGGGCTCCCGGTTAGTTGTTAAAAAGCTAGAGCCGAACACGAAGGGTACCTAGTGAGAGGCTACTAGCGAAATTGAACACGTATGTGTGCGGTGTAGGCGGCAGCTTCAAACAGTTGTTGAGGTAGGAGAGTTAACGGAGGCGGCTGGATAGCGCGATTAGGGTTGAACGTAAGCCTGTCGGGTACTCGGTCCGATAGTCGGGCGGGCGATGGCTAAGGAGGCTAGGAAAACCACGAGCGAGAGTGAGCTGTTGCAGTGCAAAGATTGCAAGCTCTGGTGCTACTTAGATGAGACAGCATTCACGAGTTTGGCCGACGTGCAGAAGGCGAACTTCGTGAACAGGCTGTGCGAGGCACTGAAGGCGGCCGTGCATTGCATGGAGGCTAGCATCAAGGGGCTTCAGGAGGAGCTTAGGGTGGAACGGGAGCAGAGGATAAAACTCCAAAAAGAACTCGGTGCATCGCGTGAGCGGGAGGAGGCTACCGCCAGCCTATTAGAGCAAATGAAGGGAGACCTTCGAAAGGAACGCGAAGCACGGACCGAGCAAGAGCAGCGGGTAAAGGAGCTAATGGCGCT